GTTAGCAACTCCTTTGTCTGTCCAACTGTCTTTCTCTCTCTTTGGTCTCTATCCCCACCTATCATTTACTCCTTGCCCCCTTCCCCCATCGTATCTTTTGCATATAAACTGACATTTTCCTAACTACCATCAATTCCGAGGAAGGGTTACTCGACCTGAAATGTTAACTCTGATTTCTCTCCACACGTGCTGCCAGACCTGCTGAGCTTTTCCAGCAACTTGTGTTTCTGTCCCTACCCTATAACCATGCATTTCCGATGGCTAATCCCCCTAGATTGCAAATCCCTGGGCACTATGGGCAATTTAGCAAGGCCAACCCACCTAGCCTGCACATCTTTGGACTGTGGGAGGAAACCAGAGCACCCGGAGGAAACCCACGCAGACACGGGGAGAACGTGCAAACTCCACACAGACAGTCACTTGAGGCTGGAATCAAGCCCGGGTCCCTAGCTCTGTGAGGTAGCAGTGCTAACCACTGAGCCACCGTGCCACTCAGAACTACTTAGAGAATAAAGCTACAAGATTCCATGGTTTTGAACAAACAACAAAAATAAACATTATGATACAATGTTAGATCTGCAATTCTGTTTGACAATGTGTGGATAACGTATATTCTAGCACCCAGAATTAGCCTGGTAAATATGATAATAGATAATGATCAAACACTCTACAGCACACATCAAAAAGCAAATATGATCAAAACAGACCCCGTAAATTTCTTGGCAACTTCCCACTAGACATCAATGACACAGTGGGTACTGAAATCTCATTAAACATCACAAGTGATCACAATTTTTCATTTTTGCCAATCTAGCCTTAAAACCCCCTCTCAAAAGATATTTAATCATTGCCGGAGAGGGTAGTGGAGTCGGCCTCATTAGGGGCATTTAAGCGGCTATTAGATAGGTGTATGGATAATAGTATAAGGTAGGGGTGGTGGTTAGATAGACCTTAGGATTAAGGTAAAAGTTCGGCACAACATCGTGGACTGAAGGGCCTGTACTGTGCTGTACTGTTCTGTGTTCTATGTATGTTCTATGAACTACCTCAATGACTGCTCCCTTTCTAGTTGATCTCCCTCCTTTCCTGGATCCAGACTCTGCTGGACTCTGAAACTACACTTTCATCCTCATACAAGAGCATAACGTCGGCTCGACACCACCAACCAGCCTCAGCGAGTCAGTTCTGACCATAAGCCTTTCCTTAGGCTCCATTTTTGCTTGGTTACTTTTCACACTACCTTAGCTGCACTAGAGTATTGATATTTGCAGGCTTCTTCCAAAACCCTCACAGTTTCTCCCAGCACTGAGTTAGCAACCTTCCTACTTTATATGAAAACTGAAAGAACTGCGGATGCTGTAAAGCAGGAACAAAAACAGAAGTTGCTGGAAAAGCTCAGCAGGTCCGGCAGCATTTGTGAAGAAAAATTCAGAGTTAACATTTCGGGTCCATTGACCCTTCCTCAGAACAGGTCCTACTTTATATGTTCCTCATGAGTTCTTCTGAATCCTAATTCCAACATTTAGCTGCCTATTACCACCTAGAATCTCTGCTGAGTTTGTTCTAACAGCACAGAGCCATCAAACTCTTCTTAATCTCTCATTGAGTCTCCTGCATAGAACCCATATAAGTCCAGTTGCCTTCCCAGGAGTACAGATTCTTAAAAAGTACACCGGACATGGGAGTCTATTCTCTGTCTCCTTCTCCAACTCTATGTCCTTTGAGGTCCTCTTCGGTGACCTCCAAACTGTCCCGAGTAATGTTTTGAAAAAAAGCCCTCCCTATCATTGGGCATAACTGAATGTTGTCACTTTGTAACTCTTAGATCTGAGTGGGCCCTAAAGGTTACATTCTCACAGAATGTTGGAAATGGTTTTCGTCACAACACTTCCAATAAAGAAGTTTCATTTTAACTCTTTATTGGATGCACACGTAACTATCTTATATTTATGGCATCTATAGGTCTCCCATAAAGTCATAGAATCCCTAAAGTGTGGGAAGAGGCCAATCAGCCCATCGAGTTCACACCAACCCTCCGAACAGCTTCCCACCCAGTACCAGCCCTGTCAAAATCGCTCATAATTTTGAACACCCAAATAGGTCATCTCTTAATCTACTCTGCTCCAAGGAGAATAAGCACAATTTCTCCAATATTTCCTTGTACCTAAAATACGCCATTCCTGATATCATTCTAGTAAATCTCCTTTGCACTCTCTCCAGGGTTTTCCAGACTGTTTAAGTTCACCAATTCTAACGGTGAAAATTCCCACTTTGCTCTCTCTGGCCTTTAGCAAGCACTTTCAAGGAGCCTAATGGGTCACTCATCAGAGCCCAGTGGGTTCCCTGACTCCAACCCACCTCCCCTAGCACTTGCCCAAATGTCTCTGAACACCATTTAATAGATTTACACCATTTAAAAAAACTTAATAGGTTGTGAAACACTATTCTCTGCCTTAAATCATATTGACTCTGCATAATCACATTACAATCTCCCTAAGTGATTTATTACAGCTATCTTAATAATGGACTCCATAATTTTGCCAACATTTTCTTAACCAGTTTAGAGTTTCCAGTTTTCTCTATCTCCTTTTCTTGAAAGAGGTGTTGCATCTGCTACCTTCCAATTTATTGGGACTGTCCCAGAATTGTGGGAATGTTGGAAGATCACAACCAATTGTATTTACCATCTTTTGGAACGCTAGGGTGTAGACATTAGGTATTGTAGATTTGTCAGCTTCTAGTCAAATTAATTTCTTTTTTAAAAGAAAGTACTAATGTCAGTTACTCATTCTCATTAATCCCTTAGCTCCCAGCTATTTCTGGTATTTTTTTCTGCTTTCTGCTATGAAGACAAATACAAAATATTCATTTAAAATCTCATGCATTGCTTTATCCCCATCATAACTTCGCCTCAGCTTTTAAGGGACTCCTGTTTACTTTTGCTATTCTCTTCCTTTTTTTTGCACTTATTCCAGCTCTTACAAACATTTTTATATTTCTTGCTCATGCTGTGTTTTCTTCCTCACTATCAACATTTTAGTCAACATCTGATGCTTTCTAAAATTTTCCCAAATCACTGGCTTACTTTGACACTGTTACATTTCTCTCTTTATCTAACCTTATTCTTAATCTTTCATTAGACATGGATGGATTTGTCTTCCTGTGGAGGTTTTATTTCTCAATAAATCTATATTCATTGAGAAACATGAAATATTTCTTTAAATGTTCATTATCACTTATCTACTGTCATATCTTTTGATCTAATTTTCCAATCTACATTAGTCAACTCAAGTCTCAAACCTATGAAATTAGTTTTAAATTTCACAATGTGGTTTTGGACTTTTAAAATTATTTGTCATGGGATGTGGGCATGATTGGCAAGACTGGCATTTATTGTTCATCTCCACTTACCCTTGAAATTGTGGTGGTGAGCTACCTTCTCGAGGTAGCCCATTTGGTGTAGGTTTACCCATAATGCTGTTAGGGAGTTCAAGGATTTGGACCCAGCAGCATTGAAGGATCAATGATTTATTTCCAAATCAGGATGGTGAGTGGCCTGGAGGGGAACTTGCAGGTGGTGGTGTTCTCATGTATCTGCAGCCTTTGTCCTTAAAGCTGATGGGAGAGGTGGGTTTGGAAGGTGCTGTCTGAGGAGTTTTCATAATTTGCTGCAGAGCATCTTGTAAATAGTAAACATTGCTGTTACTGAGTGGATAGAGAGAACATGTGCCTTGCAGATGGTGGACAGACTTGGGGGAGACAGGAGGTGAGTTACTCACTGCAGGATTCTTAGCCGCTAACCCACTCTTGCAGCCACTGTGTTTATGTGGCAAGTACAGTTCAGTTTCTGGTTAATGGTAACCCCCAGGATGCTGATTGTGGGAGATTCAGTTTTAGCAATGCCATTGAATGGTCAAAGGCAAATGGTTAGATTGTCTCTTCTTGGAGATGGTCATTGCTGGCACTTGTGGTGGTATGAATGCAATAAGGCATTCTTTCATGTTGCTATCACTCTTCCACAGAGCATCACTTACTATGGGATTTTAAAGTAACACAATCTGATTACATCAGATGAGATCTTTTGTAATTAATATATTCTCTCAGACCTGGTCCTTTCTTTTGAATCTTTTCTTAAATAACTTCCCCAGGACATCCCTGTGTTTTTTATAATATGGAGAAAAGACCCATGTCACTTAGGAATTGAAACAAGTTCTCATAGAGTCACAGAGATATACATCACAGAAACAGACTCTTTGGTCCAACTCATCCATGCTGACCAGATATCCTAAATTAATCTAGTCCCATTTGCCAGCATTTGGCCCATATCCCACTAAATCTTCCTATTCATGTACTCATCCAGATGCCTTTTAAGTGTTATCATTGTACCAGCCTCCACCACTTCCCCAGGCAGCTCATTCCACACATGTACCACCCTCTGTGTGAAAAAGTTGCCCCTTAGGTCCCTTTTATATCTTTCCCCTCTCACCTTAAACCTATGTCCTCTAGTTTTGGACTCCCCCACCCCAGGGAAAAAACCTTGTCTATTTACCCTATCCATGTCCATCATGATTTTATAAAGCCTCTATAAGGTCACTCCTCAGCCTCCGACACTCCAGGGAAAATAGCCCCAGCCTATTCAGCCTCTCCCTATAGCTCAAACCCTCTAATCCTGGCAACATCCTCATAAATCTTTTCTGAACCCTTTCTCGTTTCACAACATCCTTCCTATAACAGGGAAACCAGAATTGAACACTGTATTCCAAAAGTGGCCTCACCAATGTCCTATACAGTCGCAACATGACCTCCCAACTCCTATACTCAATGCACTGACCAATAAAAGCATGCATACCAAATGCCTTCTTCATTTCTCGGAGGGAATTGATTAGTGATTGTCTATCAATGACTATGCAAATGCACCACTTTCCAAATGCGAGTGAAGACATCATCCCTTTGATTTGAGTTAATTGTAAAAAAATTATACAAAATAGTAAACACACATGTAATGTATTATCAAGCTTTATTTCATATTTGCTACCAGGAATACTTCAAAATCCTTCATTTTCCCTTATGCTCAAGGTCCTTTAAAAAGGACACATTGATGATGACTTAAGGTACATTTTAACTGAGAAACACTGAAACTCAAGAGGTTTAAAATGATTGAAATGATAAGACATATCATTCTGTAAAACACAAAGACTTCATTTTTTTTGAATAAAGGCGGACTCGGAGAGCGTTTTCCCATCCTTGGTTTCAACTGTCTTGACAATGAGGGATTTGCTCACTCCACTTGTTTCCATCCCACCACGGTTCAAGGTCTCAAACTGGTATTGTGGAAATCCAAAACCTGCTGAATGGATGCAGATTTAAACACATGAGCGAAGAGAAGGAGCAACAATTGCATTGAAAACATAACTTGCCTACTCCACCCATTCATTTCACTTAGCTTCTAAGCTGTTCCCGCGATTAACATTGAACGCTTATGCGGTTGCAGACGTCTGCACTGCTTCTGAGGGTTGGGGGTCACAAATTGTGACTTTCCTTTGTGTGGTCCATCAGACTTGACAGATTCTGTCTCATATCTGGCCATGGTGGCCTATCTTTGTTTGCAAGTCCCCACAGTAACTGCAAAGAAGGCCTTTTACTGTAGGATTAGAGGAGGGCTGGAGGAAAGGGTGTATAGACTGTAGCAAGCTCGTTTCTGTCTTTGCCTCAATGGGGGAGGGATAGTGTGTGTGTGTGTGTCTGTGTGTGAGAGAGAGAGAGTGTGTGTGTGTGTGTGTGTGTGTGAAAGAGAGAGAGTGTGTGTGTGTGTGTGTGTCTGTGTCTGTGTGCATGTGAGAGAGTGTGTGCGCGTGTCTGTGTGTGTGTGTTTGTGCACGCACGTGTGCGTGTGCACGCGTGTTAGTGTGTGTGTTTGTGCGTTTATGTGTATGTGCGAGAGTGAGTGTGTGTGACAGTGTGTGTGTGTATGTGTGTGCGTGTGTGTGTGCGTTGTGGTGTGGTTGTGTGTGTGTGTGTGTGAATTTTATGTTTGATTTGCAATTATAGATCATAGTTTCGTTTGGCAGGAAATGTTAAGTGGATTTGGCATGACTTCAATGTAAAATTATCCATCATTTCTGGACTTGAGCACTGTACATAAGCTTGGCGGTCACTGGTCGATAAGGGAAAATTATGATTTTGCACTCCGTGCGTGCCCCCCCAGCTTTCTACCTTTGCAGCACAGACACCTCTTGCCCCACCACCACAAAACATTTAACAACTTATCCCAGTCCCGGTCACTGCTCTTCAGAGTGACAGCCATGTGAGGCAAAATAGATCTTGCTCTACTCAAAATGATTAGATTTTGGTAATAGAAACAACTCGGCAGTTCTCTTACTTTTGACTGTTTGATGATAGGTGATATTCACAGGTGTTGACAACCTAAAATCAGAGACAAGAGTGACTGTTACTGGAATGAACATACAGGAACAGCTAAGGCTGGCTTAAGGCACAAGAAAGCTCACAAACGGCTAATCCTGCTCTGGAGGATTCACCTGCGCTTTGAATAGCCTTAATCTCCTAGGCTGGAAATCCCCTTGGAGCTTCCCTGTGCTTCTTGTGTCTTAACTCTGGCAGAACAGCAGTGACGAGTGTTCCCAATGCACTCCTGGTGGAGTTATGAAGAGGCCATGCCTCGGAGGATATTCCTGTCCCTGCCAAGTGTTCAACCACTTATGCGAGTGGCAAGACACAAACTCAGAATCATTTGAGGTTGGGGTGCCAGCATCAAAATTTGTAATGGGCTGGCAAGCATATGTGGCATGACAAACATAGTGCCCATGTGCTCCATGCAATCTGAAGATCTGGCATCTGAGGACTGCAGAAAAATCTTACCAGCAAGATCTCAACCGCATCCAAGAGAACTGGCCCAAAAACGAATTTGCCTCATTGTTTTGAAATGTACTTTTACATTGTTCATAAAATTTGTCTAATTTTGGAACAAGACATTGTCACTTGAAAATTTTACGGAATTTACTATAAAATTCAACCTCTCTCCATTCTATTCCTAAGTGCCTCAATTCAATTTCAAAATGCTTCATATTTACAATATACTTTCCATGTTAGGCATACAGCACAAGTACAAAACATTTTAAATTTTAAAAAAATCAGAAAGTGCAATTGAAATAAGCTTTTCTCTGTACACCATGTTCCATTCTAAGATGCCCCAGTCCAGTTTCAATACCCTGGATGTTCACAACGTACATTGCTAGTCAGACATACAGTCCAAGGGGTTCTATGGTTGAGCCTGTCAGTGTGCTATGGCTGAAAGCCCTTGGATGGGAACCCCTCCCCATGGTTTTGGCATCCAGGGCCTTCCTTCTTCCAGGTGGACCCCACCCCCCACGGTCAACTGGAGTCTATAGCATCTCATTTCATTCAAAGTAAGCATCTTCAGCCCAATGCTAGATCCCAACTGAGCCAGGAGAGTAGGACCTCTTGGCATAGAGTGGCACTAGCACTGGCTCTGCCCTCTGACAGCTGCCATCCTCTTGGTGTCATTTGGCTTCTATGCAGTAGGTGGAAGATGTATCCCTAACAAAGCTGCCCAGGAAGAACTGGAAACAGCAGAGACACACTGCGACCAGACCCTCAGCTGCCTTCTGCTGGGTTCCATTCAACCTACAATGGAAGTCCAACAGGTATCTCTCTCTGTCTCTCTCTCTCTCTAACCAAAACCCCCAGCAGCATCCCTCCCCTACCAAGGTCACATCACACAGAACATAGCCTTCTAGAAAAGAGCCAAAACCTCCGGATACAACGCATCATCCTCCGACACTTCCGCCATCTGCAATCCGACCCCACCACCAAAGACAGTTTTCCCTCCCCACCCTTATCCGCTTTTCGGAGGGACCACTCTCTCCGTGACTCCCTTGTCCGCTCCACACTCCCCTCCAGCCCCACCACACCCGGCACTTTTTCCTGCAACCGCAGGAAGTGCTACACCTGCCCCTACACCTCCTCCCTCCCCCCCATCCCAGGCCCCAAGAAGACTTTCCACATCAAGCAGATGTTCACCTGCACATCTGCTAATGTGGTATACTGCATCCGCTGTACCCGTTGTGGCCTCCTCTACATCAGGGAAACCAAGCGGAGGCTTGGGGACCGCTTTGCAGAACACCTACACTCGGTTTGCACTAAACAACTGCACCTCCCAGTCGCAAACCATTTCAACTCCCCCTCCCATTCCGCAGACGACATGTCCATCCTGGGCCTCCTGCAGTGCCACAACGATGCCACCCGAAGGTTGCAGGAACAGCAACTCATATTCCGCTTGGGAACCCTGCAGCCCAATGGTATCAATGTGGA